GGTGGGGGCAGAGAGGCTGAAGGCCTGACCGCTGATGGTGAGGCGTGTGGGGTGGGGGGGTGGGGCGTGGAGCAGGCCGGAGATGTGTGGTTCTTTTTAGAGAAAAAGCACTAGACAGCAGCGAAGCTCCAGACGTCACAACAGAGCAACCTCAACATTGAACGGTTTGCCACCAACCCAAATAATAAGCTGAAGCTTCTCAGGGTCAGTCACTCGCTAATCTTTTCCCAGAGTGGAATGAAAACAAAGCAAAGTTATTAGAAATTGAAAACGTCAAAGGAATATTGTGGTCCGGTTTCACATCAGGAAACACTCTCCTGAGAGAGAAGACTTATAATGCTTCTGTGCCGCAGTAAAACTGATAATAGGATTAAAGTGTAAATAATCCATTCCTAAAATAGTGACAGGCATACCTCTGAAAGGTCACTCATTTACCATCGTATCCTTTTACATTATCCATGGGCAACACACAGTAAACAAATTACTCTTAGGGTTTTGTACACTGTGGAGCTTATTAATGGCTGTAACAGTAATCACTTTACACTCAGACATGTAGGCAGCATTCACGTCAATCTTTTTGCATGTGATTTACAGAAAAATAGTCTTGTTAAAGCTAATGGTATTCATAATTTTTCATTCCGTTTGACCACAATAAATTATAATAAGCATCTAGAATCCGCAAGCTGTATGTTCCTTATTCCAGAGGACCCACAAATAAACAATATTAATGATAATGCTTTTGATGCAGTGCCTTTCACATCAGGAGGACGTCTCGAAGCGCTTCACAGGATTTCACTGTCGAGAGGGGTGACTGTGCATTTTGTAGGCACCAATTTGCACACAGCAATGTTCCACAAACAGCCATGAGGTGAACAACCAATTTTATCTGGGCATTACTGGCGAGGATACTGAAAGAAACTCCCTTCTCTTTTCAAATAGGCCATGGGAACTCGAAAGTCCATCTGAACTGATAAGGTGGGACCTCGGTTTAATGTCTCATCTGAAGGACGGCACCTGCAGCAATGAAACACACGCCCAGCACTGCGTTGGAGGGTCAGTATTGACCGTTATAAACCTACCAATGTTATTCCGTTTGCTTGTGTTTTTTGTGTACGGTGAGAGTGAAATGCAACGCACTTTGCATCCGTCCACGCAGTGTGGATGAAAGAATGTAATGCAGATCACGAGAAGTATCTTGGAAGAAAAGTGGACAGTGTGGACTAGGGTTCCAGCATGATCTGATATTGATTTCATCCCAGTCCAATCAATGACCTAATTTTTCATGGATAACCAAACTATTAGCATAATTGACAACTGTTGAGAGCTCTCTAGCATGTGTCCATCCATAAGAGAGGAGAATCATTAATTGGTGATGAGCATTTGCTGATAGATACCGCACTGGCTGAATGTTAAGTGTTTAAGTTCCCATTCCTCAGGCCGTTGTTTCATTTCAGGGCATGAGCTTTAAGCTTTATTAATTGTGTAACCTGCTTGCAGAAGGCTACAACAACACAGCAACTTACATTTATTTGTGTCCTTCACATGACTAAGTTGGGGTCATTCATCCCATGAAATACACAGTCACTGCACTTTATCCTGTGAAGCGCTTTGAGACATGTCAACGACGTGATGAGGCACTACATCAAGTGCAGGGATTATTATTGTTGTTGTTATTGTTATTATCGTTCCAAACCTGACTTCCCTCTTCTTATTATAGATGTCACTAGCTTCCACTCTCCTCAACCCAACTTAACATCAAAGTCTTCATTGCTGCCTCGTAATATTTTCCTCCTCCTGTCTTTATGGCCAGAGCGGCTGTTATTTAGGATTCTAATGAGAAATAATGAGGTGAAGCTTGAGAAGATGTGAGTGATCTGATCTTATTAGATGTGACTGCTCTTTTATTTATCTTTCTGTTAATAAGCAAAATATTATCTTGCTGGTTCTCCTCGGCTGCCTCTTTCTCCGCTGCAGAGTAAATGTGCCTATGCAAAAAAAAAACACACCAACATTTTCCACTAATTGGAAAAACAATTTGGCTTCAGGAAGAGTGAGATTTGTCAGTTTGTTAGCTGTTAATTACCTTAGTTCATAAACTTGGGTTATTTATAACAGGTCTTATCTTTCAAGCAAATATGAGCCCCTTAATTCCCGTCCTGAGACATCCAACGTTGGGTTAAAACCAAGCAAACACATATACGCTCTCCAACCGTTTGCAGCGCACTGGCTCCTGCTGAAGTATGGTGCCCATGGATCATGAGCATCTTCTGTTCCTGCACCCAAGTGACCGATCATCACCTGTGAGTTTAGACAGTGAATGATAGCAGGCTGTTCAACTCAGGGCATCACAACTGAGCTCAAACCTAAACACTCACTTATACACCCTTCCTTTACCCCACCCCTCCTCGCCCACCACCCCTCCTGATCCCAACCACCAGCTCGGGTGCCTGTCCAGCGCCTTGGGACGTCCTCCTGACGTGAAAGCCGCTACACAATTGTAATTTGTTGTTGTTGTCTCCACTCTTCCTCACGCACTTACACACTCTTCGTAGATTCATAGACTCATAGAAGGTACACCTCAGAAACGGGCCATTTGGTTGGTGTTTATACCCCATTCAAGTACCTATCATAGATCCTATCCCTAGTCCAATATCCCGTTTTTTTTCCCCATGTACTTCAAATTTATTCTCTCTTAATCATATGTCCAGTCTCTTTTTGACTCTGTACACAGTTTTGCCACCCAGAAAATTGGCAGAAAATTCCACACTCCCACCGCTCCTGGCATTAGATCTTTCTCTACGTACAGCCTTGAAGTGAATGACCAATTATATCTGGGGGAATTTTTAGCGCACCAGGTAAAACTCACTTTCGATTAGTATAATGAGATCTTTAACGTCTACCTGAACAGGTACAAACAGGACCCTGGATTAACGTCTCAAAGCAAGGATACCTATTCCAGACTTGCTTGGGTGTCAGCCAGCTCAGTGTAACCTCGTTGCCTTTGAATGAGACTGTTGTTGTTTCAAACCCTATGTTAAAACTTCAAAAGCTAATACGATTTATATTTCTATAGCACCTTTCATCTCAGGAAGCTGTCTCCATCATCTTTATATTACTTTCTTGGCACCTGAGCTTGTTGGTGGTTGCTGAAAAGGATGGAAAGATGTTCAAAAGTCTTATTATTACCCATCTTCAATACTATTGTGACACAAAGACTTTATTAGATTTTTTACTTTTATACATTGTAATTGTAACGCACATTGCGAGGTTTCTGAATTCTTTCAAGATCTCTGCACTTTTAAAATGTCTCTCAAATTTCACTTCACTTAAGCAACATTAGAACCGTAGACCTTTACTCCGCCAAAGAAAGCTTTCTGGCACGTCTCAAAGCACTTCACGGAGGTTTTCTAAAGAGTGTGGTGACTGTAATGTGTAAGCAAAAGCAGAAGCTATTTGCACACAGCCATGTCCCATAAACAACTGTGAAGTGAGCGACCAATTTTATCCTGACTGCTTACTCTCCAAGAGACCGAAAGAAACTCAATTCTCTTTACAACCAGTGCCATGGAATCTTTAACGACCATCTGATTCTGGCAGATGGGACTTCGTTTCAATGTCTCATTCAGTGGACAGCACCTCCGACAATCCCCCAGCACTGTACTGGACTTTCAGCCTAGACTATGATTTCATAGTCTCAGAATGGGGCTTGAACCCACCATATTGCAAAGCCGCGTGAGGGCATGTGGGTGAGAAAAGATCGTCTTAGGTGCTGTCCTCGGATGATACTCTAAACCAAGGTGCCGTCTGCCTGTTGGGATGGGCACTGAAGATCCCACGGTGCTATTTGAGAAGTGAAGGGAGTTTCTCTCAGTGTCGTGGCCAATAATCCCCCAAAATATGATTGTCCATTTGGTTCGTGGCTGTTTGTGGGACGTTGTTGTGTGCAAATCTGCTGATGGGACGTCTCTCCCGACGTGAAAAGCGTGACACAAGTGTAATTTGTTGTCGTCGTTGCGTTCACCTTCACAGTCACTACACTTTACAGTAAGCCTCAGTGAAGTCACTTTTGAGTCGTTTGGGCGATGTAGTAAATGTCTAGATTAAATCTAAATAAATGCAACGTGACTTCGAAAACAAGTGACTAACTTATAAACAAACATCAGACATTATAATAGGGTAAAGGGGCATTCCTTCCAATCAAAAATTTTCGACATTAAAGGCTTTACATTAAATATATTAGGATTATTTTTATTATTATTAATAATAACCGGCTTTGAAGTTGATAATTAGCTTTGAAGCTCCAACGCCAACCGAAATGGATTTTCCTTTTACAATGAATAATAATAATAATAATAATAATCCTTGCATTTGATATAGCGCTTTTCGCGTCGGGAGGACGTCCCAAAGCGCTTCACAGAACACACTGTAAAGTGAATTGACTGTATATTTGTGGGCGAACGCGGCAGCCAATTGCGCACAGCAATGTCCCACATTTGGGAACGAATGCTGACTCCCGACCTGAACGGCGCTCTACGAGTGGAATCTTGTTGTCGTCGTCGTTGTCGTCGTAACTCGCAGTCCTATTGCGCTTTCTACGCGAGCCCTGGCGAGCCAGCGGAATGCAGAACGTAACCGACAAAGCCGGCAGCTGCCCGAACGAGCCGCAGTGAGATGTGCCGCGGAATCAGCGATCGGTATCAACGATAATAATCCTTGCAATTTGATGCGCCAGAGCGGTCGCGAGACGTCTCAGAGCGCTTCGCTGCGAAGTGGGTTGACTGTATATTTCGCGGCGGGGCGGGCGGGAGGGCGGGCGGGTGGGTGTCGGTGGCGGGCGGGTGGGTGCTTGGGCGGGCGGGGTGGGGAGAGGGAATTCTACCCCTGGGTTTATGAATGGCTAGAAGGCGGATGGATCTCACACACAGATAGAGAGATGAGAAGGAGGAGGAGGAGGAGAAGGGGGGAGTGATGGGGGAGGTGGAGGGGGGTGGGGAGAGAAAGAGAGAGAGAGAGAGAGAGAGATAGAGATAGACTGACAGAGGAGAGCAGGACTACTTGCAGGGTGTGCAGGCAGACACCAGCTGTATTAAAGGAGAGTGGAGTGATTGGGTGGAGGCAGAGGCTGGGATTTTCCTTGGGTTGCAGCAGTCAGACAGAGACCCAGAGCAGCAGCAGCAGCAACACAGAGAGAGAGAGGGAGAGAGAGAGGGAGAGAGAGAGAGAGAGGGATACCCACAGCCAAACCCACAGCCAAACCCCACACACAGCATCAGCAGCAACACAGCACCATGTTGCAAACCAGGACTGTCCTTTGCAGTTTGCTCCTTTTCAGCACTGCAGGTAGGATTTTTTTTCTATATATATATATTCAGTTCATTCCCCACCCCCCCCCCCATCCAAAAAAAATTGCTCCTTTCACTACCCCCCCCCCCCAAAAAAAAAAATAACCTGCATTGTATTTTTTTTTCACCCACCACCACCACCACCACCAAAAAAAAAAATTTATATTTTTTTTTGGGGTGGGGGGGGGGGTGACTGTTGCAATTGCTGAATTGCAAAGGGGGAAGGGGTGGGTGGGGGGGGTGTGTATGTGTGGGGGGAAGAGGAAAAATCCCCAAATAGGATGATGTGAGCCATTATGGATAAAAAGGCATTTGTGTGTTTGTTTGTTTGTTTGTTTGTTTCTTTCTTTCTTTCTTTCTTTCTTTCTTTGTTTCCTTTAAATTTTTGCTTTCCATTTCTGCAAAAAACATCTGCTTTTTAAAGGGAGCATTGTGATGGGTATCTTGTTGAGAGATGGGGGATGGGTGGGGGGGTGGGGTGGGGGGGACTCAATTTTCTTGTCATTGTGCAAAAGGTTTTTCTTGGCAGCAAATATATATATATATGTATATATATATATGATGTCCTGCAGTGAAGGCTTTGTCCTGTCTTGGTCTCAGCACAGTTTCCTTATCCAGGTAAATGTTTCTGGGATGTGTTCATTTGCTTCATTGTATCTGCCCCACATCCTTTTTGAAATAATATAAATAACAGGGAATTTACAGGATGAGAGGAGAGATGGAGTGGGAGAGAGAGAGAGAGAGAGAAAAAGAGAGAGAAAGGGGTATTTCTGAGATTGCAAAAGCTTGAAATTGTCTCTTTTCTGTCCTTGTCAATGCCATTTAAGGGTCGAAACAGTTTCTGTGTTCATTTCAGTTGAAAGAAACCCTCTGCACATCTAAGAAATTGCAGTGAGAATTGAGAACTTGGTCTGAATTTGCTTCCCAGTGGGAGGTGCTGAGTGAATAAAGCCCCTGTTTTTATAATTGGATCCTTTTGTGATTTTTTTTTCCACCACTGGATTGCATTGTGTGTGTCTATGTGTGTGTGTATGTTCTGCAAACTAAATAAAACTGGATTTCATCTATTCACACCCCCCCCCCCCAAAGAAAAAAGAGAGAAAATATCTGATTTGATGTTCTTCTGCTTTGCAATTGGGTTTTTGTGGCTCTTTGCAATAAAGGGGGTTCATTCACATCATTATTATTAACATCATCATCATGTTTATTGGGACTCTCCTCTATATTTCTTGTGAAATGGACACAATGGAACCACAGGCTTTCTTTAATGTGATTGCTTGTGAAGAGAAAGAGAAGTGATAGAGGAAGGGAACAAGAACCTTGATAGAGAGATAGAGAGAGAGAGATAGAGAGAGAGACTAGGTTGATATCCCCCCCCACACCCCCCAAAAAAATCTCTCCCCATCAAACCTCAAACCAAAACCCTTATGGTATTTGTCCCACAGATTGCAAAACTGTTATCCTTTTTATTGGTGTGTGTGTGTGATTTTAGAGATTGCAATTAAAAAATATATAGATTGCTGCAAGAAAATGGGTCTGTCTGTTCATATATATATATATATATTACATAATATATCATAAAAGAAAAAAAAGATTGTGAGCTGGGACTGTTATCTATCCCACTGGGGTGACGTAAGTGCAAATTAAAATGGGTTTAAACAAATAATTCTCGCCTCAGGAGGTGTGTGTGTGTGTGCGTGTCTTGGGGGTGGGGGGGGGTGTTGGGGGTCTGAGATGTTTATTGCAAAGTTGGCTTGTACTGCCTGCTTCTGGTGAGCTCTCACCATTCTATAGCTTCAGCCTTTCTTTCGATTTCTCTCTCTTTCTCTGGTTTCTCTCTATTCGAGGATTAAAAAAAAACACCGATCGATGCTGAAGCTGTTTCTCTCAGAGCTGGGAGGGGGTTTGGTGGTGGGGGGGGAGCAGAGCGGAGCTGATACCCACAGCTTTTTCCCTCCTCTCCCCTCCCAGGATCTGCGCCTCTCTTTAATAAACCCTGGAAAGGTGCGAAAACCTGACCGCGATAAACCCCCAATTCCAAATTCCCCCCCTTTTTTTTCCCCAAGGCTTTTTTTAAATGTTAAATGTTAAAACGTCACCAATAAAACCAACATCTTTTGTTCCTCCTCATCCCCTCCCTCCTCCTCTCTCTCCCCCCCTCTCCTGAGCTATTGAGAAGAGATGCTAATTTATTTCCACTTTGGTCAGACAATGCAATTATCCAGTAACTAACACTCTCTCGGTGCTGTGTATCCCAATCCTTTGTATTTTCCAGCCTGGTTTATCTCTGTGTTTAGAGACATTCTCTCCCCCATGTTTTTTTTTGTGTGGTGGCGGTGGCGGTGGTGGTGGGGGAGACGAGAAGGAAGGGGAAGAGGCATCAATTATAACTCTGCTTTACTGATTTCTTTTCTGTCGCTATTTTCGGATCATCCCCTTTCTGCGGCTGTGGCGGGTGTAAGGGCGGATTTTTCCGAGGTCGCTTGAGCACAGATTTTAAGCAGATGGTTATGGTTATGTGTGTGTGTGTGTGTTTTTTTTTGTTGTTCTCGAAATACCTTAAATACATCACAAACATCTGCGTGTGGCGGGGGAGACGTTTGTACACACACACACGCGCGCGCTCGCACGTAAAATGAATGGGGAAGCGTTTAATAATTGTCTAAAGGAAACCAGGCAGATATTTCTTTCTATTTGACAGTTTTTAGACTTCTCTTAAAGACGTGAAGTGCGTTTGTATAAAACCCCGGTGACAACCCAGCTCTGAAGCTCTCTCTCTCTCCTCTCTCTCCCCCCACCCCCCACCTCTCCCTTTTCCTTCTGCTTTGGTATTTTTCAATCCGGATTTCTTTTGTGGGGATTTTTTTTTGGGGGCGAGTGAGTGTTTTTTTATGTGAATCCAGAACAAATCGAGGGTGGGATTTTCCTGCACCTGTTTCTGTCTATCTGTCCTTTAGGGAGAGAGAGAGAGAGAGTGTGTGTGTGTGTGTGTGAGAGAGGGGTTCGGGGGGATTTAAAGATCATTCTCCCCATTTATTGTCGTATTTTTTTTAAAAAAAAGCAATTTAAAAGGAGCGAAAGGAGAGGACGATGCACTGAGTGAGACTCGCTCTTGTCTTGTACCGTATTTCAATGTAGTGAAACGTGAAGTGGACGAGGTTTTATTGCAGCAGTTTACACGGGAAGCGAAATATATATCCATTTGTGGATCAGTCCACGTGGGTAAAAATTACAGGATCAATCACTTGTTTTCTATTTGGCAACGAAATGTTTTCAGCCGGATCAGTTCCCACGTATCTAATATTTATATTTGATATGTGTGTCAGGATCTGTTGTACACCCGACAGAATGACAACAACAACTTCAAATATGCATTATGTTTATATCAATCCAAACGCCATTTCACCCACAAAACGCAGTCACTTTACAGTGTATTGCAGTATATTCTACACACAAAGTATACACTTTGAGACGTCTCAACGACGTGATGATATCGAATGAAAGGATTATTGTTATAATAACCTGTATTTACACACATATATCTGCGCGCGTGTGTGTATATATATATATATATTATAACCCCTGTGTCACAGTCCGTTTGAGCGCACACAGAGAAATGACAAGTGTTTCCATTTGCTGACATACATACCAGTATTTCAGGAGCAGGGACTGAGTGAGGAAGGGAACTGAGTCCCTATTCACTCCCAGATTGTGTCGAGAGAGAGAGAGAGAGAGAGAGTGCAATTACAGCCTTGAAATCAAACACAACATTAGGCTCCAGACGTGTTTTATTTCCCCCCCCCCCACCCCCTTGCTCCATGTTCTGTATTTCCTGCCTGTGCTAATTTTTTTGGGGGTTCGGTTTCAGGGAGAATGTCTGGGGGGAAAAAGAAATGAGGATTATTTTCATTTCATTTTGTTTTTGAATTGTAAAACAAATCCACTCTCTCTTTTTTTTGAAAAAAAAAGCAGCAGCAGCTTGGAAATCACTGCGGGGAGCAGGAGAGGTGGGTGGGGATCGAACGGTCTCTTAAACATAGCTGCGGCTATAATTAATTTGGGAGAGGGCAGCAATGCGATATGGAGAGCGCGAGAGAAGAGAACGAAGCGGAAGAGGCATCAGTTATGTCTCAGAGCAGTTAACTCTGCTTTACTGATTTCTTTTCAGTCGCTATTTTCGGATCATCCCCTTTGTGCGGCTGTGGCGGGTGTAAGGACGGATTTTTCCGAGGTCGCTTGAGCACAGATTTTAAGCAGATGGTCATGGTTATGTGTGTTTCTTTTTCTCTTGTTGAAATACCTTAAATACATCATATCTGAGCCACAACCACGGCCGTCAAGGCGTGCTGTTTACCTGAGCTGTGTGACACGAGTTGTCACGGCATTGAAAGGATAAAAACAGCTCGTTGCTTTGCCTCTCTCTCTCTCTCTCTCACTCTCTCTCTCAGTCCCCCACTGACGAGCAAATGGCTGGTTTCAAGCAACTGTGCTATCGAGGTGCTGAGTAAATGCCATCGGAGAGAGAGAGAGAGAGGGAGAGAGGGAATTGTGCACTGGCTATCCTTGGAATTTTATTTAGAATTGACATTGCCTTTATTTAATGACAGCGCCGCATTAAATAAAAGATCACCGAGGGCGCACGGAGTTCCACGCCGGCGTGAGGTTTTCTCTGTCGGATAAATGAACATGATTTTTTTTCGAACGGGAAAAAAAAACCCCACTCCACATCTGATTGATGTTAAAACCCACTTCTCGCTCGCTCTCTGAACTGAGGAATTTATTCTAGGAGTGCGAGGAGGGGCAGGGGATGGGGGGATGGGGGGTGGGGGTGAATTTGGGGAGAGAGAAGGAACGAACCTGAACTGAAATATTCACATACAACATGGGGGGGTGACCTGATTAATTGGCTTGCTTGTGCGGACCGAGGGACGGTGGAGGAATCTTAACTGGAAAACAGGGAAACCGCGAGGTGGGGGGGAAGGGAATCGCGGGGAGTAG